CCGTTCGCGGAAGCCTAATTCTTCGCTGGATCAAGAAGCAGTTGCAATGGAAAGGATCCGAGAACTTAGAAAGAGAAGAGGCGGAGTGCTCTCTGCCTTGACGGTTAAGCGTAAAGAAATTGACGGCTTATTAACAGATGAGAACAATTTTGAAGCAGTCAAGGTGAAACTGACGGAGATTATGTGGTAGACTGTACTATCTTGAGCAGCAGAGCGGAGTTGTATGTACCTAAACCCACAAGAAGGCTACTCTAGGGCGAAGAAGCTGTTGCAGGCTAGAGCTAACTAATGGTCCCTACATCAAAGCTGAGGACGCCGAGTCACTGGAGGGTTTCTCAATTCTTCTGTCAAGTTGCACAAATACACTGAAGGCTATCGGATACTAAAACAAGATTGAAGGTCCAGACAAAATGAGAAAGATTATCGAGAGACTGCCATCTAAACTGCAGAGTAGCTGGCGGGACAATGCTGATCGTATCCTCAATGCGGACAAGAGAGAAGTTTGTATCGAAGACATTGCGTCATTCGTTGAGGAGAAGTCACGTGCCCTAAGTAATCCAATCTTCGGAAAACTTCCCTTCTTGGCTAAGGATAAGAAGAAGAGCCAGATGCGAGGGACGAAATCAAAACCCGAGGGTTCTGGGCCTAGTCCTAGAGAGCTTAGTACCTTCTCCACTTCATCTCAGAAGAGTCCCATGGATCAAAACAAGTTTAAGGAGAAGAAGTCTGAAGATCTCTCGAAAACGAGTTGTTTGCTTTGCAGTCAGATCCATAATCTCGTAGACTGTCCTGCGTTTGCTAAAATTCCTCTCCGTGAGCGTTTCGACTTTGTAATGAAGCAAAGACTCTGTTTCTCGTGTTTGAGAGAAGCCGTCTTCACATTGTAAAGGAAGACATGCTTCGCTGATGCATTTTGATTCTTCGTAAGACACGCACGAGCAGCCGACACCTGAGAATGCGAGTGTTCCACTCATTCCACGTCTCTTGCTACAGGGGAGTTTACAAGTTTCAAAAGGCGCCTGTCACACACGCTGTTTCAAATATAGTTTCATTGTGTTTAAGTATCTCCTTCTTTCTATGAGTCCCATGAGCCCACGAACATCACTTAAAGTACCTACCAATTTTCTCCTGACGATATTAATACATAATCAAGAGAAAAGGCCATAAGAATCAATCTTAATCATTTGGAATTCAAACGATAAATACGTTCATACACTCTCGTAGTTCCCTCGAAAAGCATACCCGATTCCAGAGCAAAGTGGGCAAAGTGTGTACCTGTTTTCACACCAAAACGGAGCAAAACACGACCCGACGGGGCGGTACACTCGTACCTATATAGCTCGTATAACGGAGTAGCCCCCGCGTATTGAAGCCAGAAAACCTGACATTGTTTTTGTCGAGAAAGAGATTATTGTGGATATTGCTTCACCATGGCATCACAGAGTTCATAAAAAGGAGAGTGAAAAGGTTGAGAAATCCCTGAAAAGGGAGATTAGAATATTATGGGGTATTAGACGCGTGAAAGTGGTACCGGCAGTGGTTGGTGCAGTCGGTGCAGGGAGCAAAAGATTGCATACATGGCTTGACAAGCTGGGGATTACAATTAATACGGATTTGCTGCAAAAACAGCTCTGTTGGCAGCAGCAGGGATCTAAACGTTGAAGGTGGAAAACTGACCCATGGGACCTTTGACTATGACTCGCTCCCCAGTTGGTGTAATCCACCAGAGCTAAGCATTTCGTTGATACTAGTACTACTACTACTAGTAATAATAATAATTTTGATAATAATAATAATAATAATAATATAATAATGATTCATAATAATAATAATAATAATAATAATAATAACAATTATAATAATAAAGTCTTTTTAATGTGTCAAATACCTAACTTACACAAATTGGAAACCGATTGTGGACACCAAACTACCTAACTACTTATATTCGTTTTAAATTCTTCCCATCCCAAAACATTTGGTAATCACGTGACCGTACACCGCCCGTTGCCCGCCCGTCTGTCTGCAACACAGGGCAACCAATGTTCAATCTCACACTTTCTAGCTAGTTTGGGAGCACAGGAAGACTGATATTGCACACAAACTTAAGTCACTACTTTAAAGCGCATTTACACCAACTTTACGCACAGTTTAAAGTGTTTCTTTACGATACCTTAACGCACGTGCGTAAAGGCAGCGTAAAGGTCGACTTTACGTGGCGTAAGTTTGAGGAAAATTTGAAACTTTTAGCAAATAAGGTGCTTATATGTTTGGATATTTTTTCCTGAAAATCTTGCATTTTTGGTGGAGTTCATGAGAAGGTTGGGAATGTTTATTGATTTGGAACTTTATTCCGGGACTGGTAAAAATTGTAGTTTGGACATGTAAACCTTTCATATGACTTGTCCGTGGGACAAGCACATTTTTAATTAGAAAAAAAAGATTAGAAACGGTTGCCTTAAATAGTCCTTTTAACTTTTCCATTCCACTGCCAGTCATTTCATTACTTTTTTACGAGCTCCGTTTTAGCTTTAATTCAAAAATAATATACAAGGGTAGTAATGTGATTAAAAACATTAAATGCCCGATTGTTTTTCAGTTGCAAGGTAAACTTTTTGGACAAGAACTCTGGGTTTCGGACAACCAAATTTAATGTATTGCTTGTGTGAAGGACAAGTGGATAGGAAAATTTTTCTAGTTACTCTCTAATAACAATAATAATAATAATAATGTACATCCAGTAGTTTTTCATAGCACTTTACAACAAAAAAAATATACATTGTGCCCGATTTAGTGTATTATCACTAGCCTATAAGTAATCTGTGTAGTTTACTCAAATAATACGCGCTTTCTATTTATTCAGCAGATCAGCCTGGTATGGGATGTTGGTGACAGAAAGTCCTCTCAAAGCAAAGAGGATTAATACATGTTAATTACAAGCCTTAGTCTTGTAAGGTGGTTCCAGGGATGTCACTAAGGGCCATAAACCAGGGTTTAAATTGGCTACTTTGAGCCCAATACCTGGCTATTTCAAGAGGAAACGAAAGGAAAATTTATTAAAACATAAACAACTTCCCACCCTTTCAATGTCCCGCTCACTAATTTCACATACCCTGCAACTTGCAATCTTATTGACAGCCTTGTGCATCTAACTTTTACATCAGCAGTTTATGAAAATGATTTGTTATTTGGGTTTTTTGTTAAATTTGACGGTAACCACGTCTGGGAGTGAAAGGGCTTAGTCAAGAAACCATCCATGTTATACATGTGTTAGGCTTTCAGTCTTTTTATTTCTTATCTAAAATAATTTAAGCTTTTAATTTGAATTATGCTAAATTATACTAAATATTTTCATTTTGGAAGAGACCATTAATTGACCAACCTTTACATTAATTTGTGTGTTAGAGTTGCTGTTCTTTTATCAAAATTTAACTTCATCAGTTTTCTTATACCTTACATGTAAATACTAATAATTATTTTAAACTATAAATTACCTTAATTTGGTATGATAATAAGTTAAGATGATTTATTATTTTTTTTGATTTTTTGAGAAGACTGTTTTGACCCATTTGAAAAGTTTATGTACACTGTATCTTCTTATTTAAACCTTACGAAGGTGTTACAAAAATTTTCGTTTTTTTTAAATTTTTAATGTAATCACAAAGATGCTAACACAGAAATAAGTCATGTTATATTTAGAAAAACCTTAAAAGCCTTGTAAGATTACTCTTTGCGGGACTACACTTAAAGGATGCGATTCGCATTTGCAGGTTTTGCAGTTACAACAATGACGATTTTCATGGGATTTGAAATGTAAAAATAAAGATAGGAAATTTGACGATTGGTTTTGGTAGTGCAAAATTGAAAACGGACAGGGGCCCTATTTTTTAAACTACTACTCCTTTGCATGTCCGCTTAACGCGTAAAAGGATTGTCTAAATAAGATCTTTACACAAACTTTACGCAGAGCTAAAAAGTGTTTCTTCACTTAAATTTCTTTTTTCGTGCTGTTTGTTTCCATGTCCTTTGGGCATTGCACCACGCTCTTTGGACCGCCAAAATACATAAAAAAAGTCTGCGGTGACCACGATTACATGTATTCTGCAGCTGAGAATAAAACTTACATAGTTCTAACCCACAAATGTTTGGTTTATAAATGAGGTGATTGTAAGCCATAAAATACTGCATTCTAATAAATAGTTCTAACACACAAATTTTTGGTTTATAAATGAGGTGATTGTAAGCCATAAAATACCACATTCTAACAGTTCTAACACACAAATTTTTGGTTTATAAATGAGGTGATTGTAAGCCATAAAATACTGCATTCTAATACATAGTTCTAACCCACAAATTTATGGTTTATAAATGAGGTGATTGTAAGCCATAAAATACTGCATTCTAATAAATAGTTCTAACCCACAAATTTTTGGTTTATAAATGAGGTGATTGTAAGCCATAAAATACTGCATTCTAATGCATAGTTCTAACACACAAATTTTTGGTTT